TCCTTGCGGCCCTCCAGCAGGACGTCCTGCGGGTCCTGCAGGACGTAGGCTGCGCCCCAGCAACCGCCGCGCGCACCGCGCAACGCACCGGACCCGTTGGGTGCCAACACCGCGGGGATGCCGACACAGCGGCCCGTGTCGCGTGCGTGTCACTGGCGGGTCACTTGCGAGTCACTTGCGTGCCGCGCGCGCGTCACTGGCGAGAGGGAGCGCGAAACACGCCGTGACCGCCGCGCCGCCGCCGCGGATGCGTCGCCGCGATGCATTTCCGTCGCGGTTTCTTCGATCGGACGAGGAGAAAGAAACTGTCGCTCGCCTCGTCCTCGTCGCACTTTCACTGGCCAGGCCGGGGGTTGTTGCGTCCCGCCCGCGTCCCGCGTCCCGCGTCGCGTCACTGATACCGTAATCAGCCGTGAAGAGTGAAGGGGCCGTCCACGATTCCGCACAGTGTCCCGTCGCTCTGTCTCTCTCGCGCCGCAGCGGACCGCTCCGAGTGTGCGGGAGAAATGTGAAATGTGGCCGCGAAGCCCCGTGCGTCCGTCGGGAGCCTCCCGCCGAGCGCAGCGGTGCGGCGGGTTGCCTACCGGCCGGTCGGCAGGCGCTTTTCCTCTGCTTCTTCTTCTCGCTCCCGCCGCCCCTTCACCCTCGCGCACTTCTTGTTCTTCTCTCTCTAATGGCCAGGGTGGGACGTGAAGGTGACGGCCTAACAAGCGCCTTGCAGGCTGAGCGGCAGGCCACTCTCTCTCTCGCACTCGCGGGGCGTCCCGTTCACGTGCGAGAGAGACAGAGCGACGCCCTGCCTTACGGCCTGCTGCCCTCGGCTGCCCTGCCCTCCTCGCGTCCCGAGTGGCAGCCGAAGGGGGCACTTTAGTGTATAAGCCGGCCTGCCCGCCCTGCAGATCAAATTACGGGTTCGGGTTCAAATCCGCCGAGGGAGGCGAACGCGCCGCGCGTTTTTCTCGTCGTCTTCCTTTTTCTTTCTTCCCGGTCTATTTCTGCTTTATTTCTGCCGATCGCCTCCGCCACGCACACCCCGCGGCGCGGCACGGCGCGCCACTGTAGGGCCCTACGCGGCGTCCTTCCCTCGCGAGGCGACGCGCGGGGCTGGCTGGTCGCAGGACCTCCCGCGCGGGGCGCCGCTTTCGTACAGGTTCATTGCAGACACGAGTGCGAGAGAGACAGAGCGATTGAGGCCCCCGAGACCGTGATGCACCCCACGGCGCCCCCGAGCCGGCCCAGCGGCCCCGAGCCCCAACAGGTTGGCGATGACGACGCGAATAAAAGGAATGGCAACTCAAACGGTCGGATCGTTTCGTGCGCGCGCTTTGCGCTTTTCGTGGAAATGATGGACCCTGCCGGGCCGGGCCGGGCGGGGCGCAGGAGTCATGGAGGGGACCGAATAAAGGGCGCGGACACACACGCACGCACGCACACACACACACACTTCTCTCACACACAGCCCTTCGGCCCCGCGCCACGGAGAGTTGAGACGCGTGGGAAGTTGGCACAGCGACCAGGCGAGGGAGGCGACGACGACGAGGACTTGCAGTATGTGGAAAGACACTGCAGATGAAGCGGAGTCTGCGAGTGGAGAGGGGATTTTGGATTTTAGACGCTGAGTCCGTGCCCGTGCGTGCACCGCTGTCGGCTTACCGTCCTCTATGCAGGGCGCAGGGCTCGCGGGGCTGTCTGCCGTGCCTTCGGCCTTTGCCAGTCGTCTCCCCCGCCCTCTCACTGCTAAAGCGCTTTTCCAAGAAAAGGCAGGCGACCCGCTCCAAAACGTTCATTTCCGTTGCGATTTTCCGCGCGCTCCGTTACCGTCTCCAACTGTGTCGCCCCGAGCCCCCCTCCCCGCCTTTTTCCAGTCGCCTGGATCCGCCGCTGGCGGCGAGGCGGCAGGACGCCGCAGACACGAAGCCATACGTGGTGCAGGCCGTGCAGACGACGCCGGTGGCCGCCGGCTCCGAGGATTTCTCCAGAGCACCCATGACGACGACGACGACCGGGCAGCCCTTCGCCGCCACTTCCGTCGCAGCACGACGACGAAGACGTGCACCATGTACACACTCACACACACACACACGCGCGCGCGCAGAGTAAAACAACTGAAACGCCCATCAATGAGCTCGCATCCTTTCGGCCTCTTCCGGTCGGTGCAAGACGTGCATACGCACCTTTTGCATATAAAGACAACGGAGAGGGCCCGGCACGGCACGGCGCGGCACGGCACGGCACGGCGAGGGCGGCCATACTCCACCCAGCGCGCACTTCCGGCCCTGGGTGCACCCCTTCCCTTCCCTTCTTCCCTCCTTGATCCGGCGGGGCTGCCCGTCCCGTCGTCCCGTCCCGTCCGCCGCTCCACGGCTGTTGCGAGCCCTGCGAGGCCTGCGAGCCTTGCGAGGCCTGGAGAAGGAGAAGAGGGGGGGGGCGTCCTTAAAGTTGCGCTGATAACGCTGATTAAAAAAGCAGAAAAAATAAAGGCGGTCGTTCACGCCGCCGTGCTGCACTTCATCCAACGGGCAGCTTGAACCTCGAAACGCCCCGCCCCGCCCCGCCTGTGCCGTGCCGGCCACGGCTCCTTCAGATAAAATCGCCATTATTTATTCTGCAGCGAAAAATGAAAACGGGGCAAAACGGCCGCCTCGACGAGATCCCCCCCCCCCCACGCGCTCGCGCGCGCACTTTACTTTCGCAAGGAAGTTTTTCTTTTTCGAAATGTAACGCGGAATGCAGGCCGACCTTTGGAACCAAGAACACGGACAAAGCGGCCAAGGCGGCCAATTCGAACCGGACGGGCCGGGGGAGCCAGCAGGTGACTCACTCGCAGAGCCTCCAGCAGGACATGCCGCTGTCTCTCTCGCGATCGAGCAGTGTGCCGTCGGGGTGCGAGAGAGACGCGACGCCGTTCGAAATCAGCCTGTGCCGGGCCGTCCGCAATCCTGTACTTGTCACAAGATTTCTTTCTGCCGCCTGGGGTTTTGGCTTTTGGTTCCTGGCAGGGCTCGAACCCCTTCCGCGCCGGCAGGCGCTTTCCCCCGGCGGCTCTCCAGCCCGCCGTTCGCCAGTTTCCCCGAACGGGAAATTCAAGGCAGATTGCTCCGTCAGCGAAACGTGAGAGCTCGGCCGCCCCGTCAGGCCCAAGGCGCTGGTTCGGCCAGCTCGGCCCCCTCACCCTCCCGTTCCAAAAATTCCCTCCGCGCCCCTGCAGGACTTCCCTGTGCGGCCCGGCCCGCCCCACGGCGCTCCGCAAGGGCCCACTCTGTCTCTCTTGCACCCATACGGAGAGACGGGGAGAGTGCCAGAGAGAGAGAGAGAGGGGGATGAGTGAGCGAGCACCCCGCGTGCCCCGCCAGCCTCGGGGCCTCCAGGAGGGCTGCCAGGCTGCCAGGCTCAGGTTGCACGCCCCGCAGGTCTTGATGCCGACATCGCCGGCCTGCTGGAGTTTGAGTTCCAGCTCTGCGCTGCTCCAGTAGGCCTCGCTCGCGGACAGGCGACAGCGCGAACAGCCAGGAAAACAACACCGCCACGCTTCCGTCAACACGGCGGCGGGCGGCGGTTCGAATCGGCGCGCCGCGGTGTGTGAAAAAGTGCGCATGCAACGAAGGCTTTCCCACTCCAATTTCAAACGCACCGCGGACAATCCATTTTTTTCCCTCGCCGGTGTTCTTGTTTCGAGTGAACAGGCCGAATGGTCAGTGTCGTAAACAAAATTCTGCCGGCCGCTCCGTTCCTCGTCTTCTTCGTCGTCTTTGGCCCGAGGCAACAACAGCGGTGCGACGGCAACACTGTACGACGCCGAGCTGAGCTCGGGCGGCTCGGGCTGCGTGGCCGTCACTCTCCGCGCGCCGTCTCCCTCCCGCGCGCGGGCCTCCTACGCCACAGCGCGCCACAGAGAGAGACGGAGCGCGACCGGCGACCCGCCCGGACGCTGCCAGCAGCGCGGTGGGGGCGGGGAAGGGCGGGGAGGGGAGGGGCGGGGAGGGGCACGGAGTAGCGGGGCGGCGGAGCGGGGCCTGTGCTATCAGTACAGTGCGTGTCCACGGGGAGCCCGTCCCTCTCGCTCCCTCTCGCTCCCTCTCTCTCCCTCCAACACGCCCCGCGCTCTATCTGAGCCCCGACCATGCAGCCCTGCAGCCAGCCAGCCCGCCCCGAGCGAGCCCCGGCGAGCCGGCTAGAGTTTCGGTTTGGAGTTTGGGTTCTTGTTCGGAAACCAGACCACGCGGCAGAGAGGAGAGGAGCCACGGCGAAAGCGAAATGACGCACAAAGTGTCCGTCCGCTGTCCTGTCCACCTACTCGCAGAGCCTGCACTGTGTGCAGTTTGGGTGCGAGTTGGCACCCTTGAATCGCCACCGGCCGATTAGTCGATTCATGACGAGACCACGAGTTCCCCAGCCACATACGCCGTTCATTCTGCCCGCGGGGTCCTGCAGGTTGAACGGCGCTTACGTCGCTCTGTCTCTCTCGCACTCAAGGGGTTTCCCGCAAGGTGCGAGTGGGACTGTGTTCAGAATCAGCCCTTGTGCCATTCTGCATTTCATGGCTCATTCGTCCGGATCAATAAAGCCAGTTTATCCGTGCCACTAAGTACGACGGCGAGTCGCACTCGCTCACTCCACCGGTAATCAACGAGGTCGATGCAGAGCGCCCGTAATTGTCACTGACTGCATTATTGTCGCGTGCGTGTCGTTCATTTGTCGGCTCGTCAGTGCGGCCGTCACTCTGGTCGTCACTCTGGTCGTCACTCGGCCGTCGCGATAGGAAAACACGGGCTTTGCGCCGCGAAAAAACTCGCGAAAAACTCGGGAAAAACACTTGGGAGCAGACGACGCTGCGAGGGGTGGGGGAGTGGCCCAGTGGTAGCCTCCCGCTCTGCCTGCCTGCTGGCTGGCTGGGGCTCTGCCGGCTCTGCCTGCCACATTGGCTGGCCTGGCTGGCTGCCTGGCTGCCTGGCACACAGGCGGGTGGAGGGGGAGGGGCTGCTGGGCCACGTCGGGCCAACGAGCCCACTAGCCCACAGTGTGGCGCGCGCATCCGCCGCGGAAGCAGCCAGGCCGACTCCGCGCCGGTCGGATTTTTCAAATTTGTGTCTTTGGGCGCCGGGGCGCGCCAGGCTTGCTCTACGCCAGCGTCGCCGGCATGGGCGTCTGCAGCGTCATCGGCTGCAAGAGCCGCTCCAGGGAGCGGAGGATGCCCCACAGGGCCGTCGAGGGCATCACCTTTCACTCGTGAGTGCCGCACTGCAGCCCATCAGCGCGCTGTCTCTCTCGCACTCCCGCGGCACGCCCATTGGGTGCGAGAGACACAGCGACGAAAACGACTCTCCGTCTGCAGCCCACTGGGCCGCACAGCGTATATCGTCTACCGGTTTCTCGTGACACACTGTTGCGTCCAGTACCCAGCCATTCAGCCGGCCGTTTCAAAATGGCGGGAAAGAGCTGCATTGTTGGGCTTCCCCACCCGACGGCTCTATGCTTTTCTCGTTGCAGATTCCCGTCGAAGAACCTGGACCTGCGCGCGCGCTGGTGCATGGCTGTCCGCGGGCCGGGCTGGGCGCCCTCCAAGTTCTCCAAGGTGTGCAGCAAGCACTTCGAGGAGCGCTGCTTCGACCGCTCGGGGCAGACGTGCAGACTACGCGAGAACGCCATGCCCACGCAGGAACTCGACCAGGTCCGGGTCCGTAGTCGCGGGTTCGAGTCCCGGTCCCCGCCCGGTCTGGCGTCACTTTGTCTCATCAAGTTTGCTTCCACAGACGAGGCTCGCCATGGCGCTGACCAACACCAAGATGGAGGTCGTGGAGGCCCCCGGCGTGGACTCGCTGACCGAGAACGGGATGCAGCTCCAGGACACGCCCTCCTTCGCCAACGTGGTGGCCCAGGCCGTGCTCAACGGTGGGTGCACTGCAAATCAGCAAAACAGACCACTTGATGTCTGTATAACCTCAAAATGAACGATATCTGTAAAGATTTGGTCCATTTCGATGTCAAAATGACATCATTTGACGTCATTTTAACCTGTTTTACACTGCCTGTTCTCTTTGCTTGACTCCAAAGGATCGTCGCTGTTCTCTGTCGCTCACCTACGGAAACGCCCCGGGAGTGCGACAGAGGCAGTACACTCTAGAATCAGGCGCGGCAGGCAGCCACGACGACACGTGGCTGGCCGGCCGTTCGATCGAGTGTCCGCCGCTGACGTTGCGGTTTTGGCGCGAAATTTGAATTCCGACCGATGCTGACCGCGCGCCTTTTCCTCGTGTTTCCAGTGCAGGCGGGTGCGTTCCACTGCCCGGGCCCCTGCCACCACCACACCGAGGGCAGCGTGCTCTCCCCCGACGAGTGCAACAAGCTCATGTACGCCCTGGACCTCGGCGATGGCAGGAAGATCAAGCTGGTCTACTCCGTCCCCAGGGGGCAGTGCGTCGGGCTGTTCTGAAGGGGGCCGCCGCCACAGGACGAGGAGAGCCTTCGTCGTCGGCGTCATCGGCGTGGAGAAGAGACTGCACCGTGCTTCGCCACCAATCTGTGATACTACCCGACTTTGTTTTGACGTGTGCATATACAGTTACATTATGCATGTGATGCCATTCCTGGTCCTGATGATCAGAACTTTGACTTTCTTGTTTTTCCATTTTTATCTGTGTAAGCACTTTGTTTGACGTAGGGTGCATCGTCACGAAATGTTTTTGGCTTTACTTCTCGTGATCGTAGGTAGCTGTTAAGAGTCATTCATTCTTAGTCCTTTTAAATAGGGTAATATAGTACATCCAGTAATAAATAAATATTTTTGAAGAAATGCTTTTCATTTTTCCACCCCAAGTCGTCATAAAACTGCAGGCCAACTCCAAGGAAACACGAAAACATTTCGCATTTGAGGTTGGTCTGAGGGCTCGGATGAGGACGAGCTCTGACTGTGGCGCGCGAAGGGTCCAAAGGAGAGTCATGGCGGGCGTCTTGGATTGACGGCCCTGCATCCGCGCGAGCCGCGGCGCAAGCCTTGTTAAGGGATTGGCGCCACTCGGCTGATTTGGGTCCTCCTCTCCACCTGCTGCCCGGAGACGCCGCGGAGACGTCGGAATCGTGTCCCAAAGTCCTGCGCATGAAGCCGTTCCGGCGGCGCTGCGGACGCCCTCTCTCTCACACTCATCGCACGACCGGGGCGGCGGCACGGCGGTCCGCGCCCTAAAATCTTTATGCTGCGTTTTATTCAGACGTTCAAGGGGGGCTTATATGGGGTGTAAAAAAGCGTGGCAGGCACACTGTGCAGGCACCCTCGGAGCCACTGTAGGACTCTACGCAGCGCGGCCGAGGCGGCGAGGCCCTAAAACGTCCCCAAAATGACGCGGCCGTTCTAGGGGAAGCCGGGGATAGGGGGAGGGCGACGTTCTCGGAAAAGGGGACGTGAGGCGGCGTCCGGGGGCGGCGGGGGCGGCGAGGGCCGTGCGAACTGGGTACAGGTGGCGGCGCGCCTGGCCGTGCAGTGGAGCGACGCGTCGTCGGCAACCCTGCCCCCAGGACAGACGCACGACGACGACGCCGGAGTCCGGGCCGTTACCATCGCCGGCATCGTCGACGGCCGTATACCAGGAAGGCAGGGGCTGTCAGTCGAATAGTTTGTCGCCGGATTTTATTTGACACTCTGCTAGTGTGGGAGCCGAGTGGCGCGAGACGACGCAAGCGCTGTTTCGAGGAAGTTGAGATCGCAGGGACTAGCAGTCGCAGCACGCTGAGAAAGACAGAGCGACGGTTCGGATTCAACCTCGGCTTGCACTTGGCTTGCACGTCCGCGTCGTGGCTGCCGCAGCCGCCGTTGGGAAACCGGGGCACAACTCTAATGGTAAAAATCCAAATTGGGTCTGCGGGGGCCGCGGCGCCCCGGCACGCCGGGACACACCCCGGCCACGGCGCCACGGCGCGGCATTGCAGAAAACGGCGCGCGGCACGGCACGGCGCGGCGCGGCGCGTCACCGCGGCGCTGAGACGCGTCACGCCAGTGACGCAACGCGACCGCAAGGAACATTGCCTCCGCGGCAACACGTGACAAAACGTTCCTGCAAAACGCGGGGCGCCGCGGGGCGTCGCGGGGCGCCGGGGGGCGCTGGCCGCCGACGTGATGATCCCTCTCCACGCCGCTCCGCGCACCTTGGTGTTTCACACGCACACCCTTGGCCCCTAACTCCGCACCGGCCGCCCTGGACCATATACTCTGGACCCGCCGCCCCTGCTCCACCCTACTTCTGCTTGACTGATTTTCCTTGCCGATTATAATGCGCGCCGAGAAATGTTTCCGTGGGCGAGCCGGTGGTGCTGGTGGTGCTTCGAGGCATAAAATCGGGCGCTCTTGTGGCGTGGGGTTCGCACGGTTTTCGGCCCCGGGCCCCGGGCGAGGCGCATTCTGGTGGGCTGCACTGGCCGCCACGCCGCGCCACGCCGTTTTCGGTAATCTCGGGGCGCTTTTGTATCGCACTGCGGCACTGCGGTTGGCGCCACGCCGCCGCCTCGCCGCTTCCTGGAAGCAGACCATGTTCACGGCTATCGCGGCCTGCAGCGAGAGCGCAGCGACGGCCGGCCGTTCATCCGCGGCAAGGCCGTCTGCGGGATGACAGTGTCATTGACAGTGCCTCCGTCGCCCTGTCCCCCTCGCACCCCTAAGGCCCGACGGGGCGCTCCACCGAGTGCGAGAGAGACAGGGCGACGAAGGCGGTGTCCGAGACCAGCCTTCGGATGGACCGACTCACACGGGCACCGCAACCAACGGGCGTAAACGGCCAGAGGTTTGAATTGTAAAATTGTCACGGCCGCGGTCCTTCGCGCGGTCCGCGCCCGCCCTGCTGGAAGTGCTGGAGGCAGGCACACTGCTAGGCACACTGCAAGGCACACTGCTAGGCACACCACTAGGCACACTGCTAGGCTGCCGGAACGGTTCGCTGAATGAGACAATGTCATAATGCCATGCAAGGAGGCCAAGGCTGCGAGGAGGGTGGCCGGGCCGCGCTGCCGCACTGGTACACTGTGGCGTACGGCCAGGCCCGGCCTTGGGGCCCGGACAGCGCACTGGACAGCGCCTGGACTGCCTGGGCACACAATAGGGCAGCACTGTCGTGCCCGCGCTGAATTTCTCACCATTTGCGGTCGTAATAAGAGCGCAGGGCGCGGGGAGCCTGGATTTGCGCGCTCTAGTTACACAGAAGGACAACTAGGGGAATCTAAATTGTGGCCCTTCGTGTTTTGTCCAGCTAGGTGTAATGTATAAAAATTGAGGCTTACATACTAGGTAAAGTAAAGAGGCCAACAATGCTCTGACAAGCGTACCTTGGATCTGCTTGGGTCCTACAGTCCTTGAAACCCGTTGGCTGTACTAGAGGGTTGGCCGTCGAATGTGGCAACACTGCTGTCGACGGGGTGGTTGGTGATTGTCCCCCGGCCTGTCCTTCACCTCTCTCTCTCTCTCTCTCTCTCTCTCTCTCTCTCTCTCTCTCTCTCTCTCTCTCTCTCCGTGACTGATGAAGAATAAATACACCGGAGAAATTCGGGGTCTGTCCCTCTTTCGCTTCATTGTGCACCCGAAGGTGCCCACAGGCGAGGAAGAAGAAAAAAGTGCATGATGAAATGAAATGTCCGGCATAGCGGGGCTGTTGGCCTCCGCGGGGTCGCTGCACGCCTGCACCGGCTGCACCGCGTGCACCGCAGTGCAGTGTGAAACGAGAGGCGAAACGGGTCAAGGATTTTTGCACGACTCTCTGTGTTGTGTGAAAGTGGGTGAACTTTTTCCCCGGCGGATTTTCTGTATTGGTTTTCCGTTTTCCCGCGGCCCAGCAGTCCTGGCACACAGTCCCCGCGACGAAAGGTCGCTTGCTCCACGCGAGAGACGCTCACCGTGATCCTCACGGGCATGGCCGACATGGGGCTCGTTGTTGACACTGCCGGAATTATTTTTAGAAACAAGGACCACTTGTCCCGCTGGTGTGGCGGGAACAGCATGGGTCTTCCGGTTTGACCAGCCGTTGGTTTGAACATCTGGCAGGTTTCGGTTTGGTCAACATAACCTCACCGCGCGGGGTTCGTCCCGTCGGCCGATTTCACTGAAATATATGACTGGAAAAAGTTGGTGCGGAGCAGACTTTGTCCAGGCAGACTCGCAGTGCCAACGCGTCTCTTGTTACCAAAGCTGTCCAGGCTGGGCAAGCAGGGCAAGCAGGGCAAGCCCGTTGCTGCAGCAAGTGCCATTCGGAGTCGAACAATAACCTGTGCGGGTCGGCCGTGCCACGCTGTGCCCGGCTTACCTGGACCGTCTTTGTGTCTTTGTCGCTCTCATTGTGCCGCGCGCGCAGAGAAAGAGGAGCGAGAGGGACAGAGAGACAGCCAGCTTCACGCCGCGTTTAACATTTCTTTGAATCGTCCGGTATTGGTCCGCCTTTTGTCAGAGCATCAGCTCCGCCCGCGCGAGAGTAGAGGGGGTACAGTCCCTCGCGGACAATCCCTCGGCAGGCGTGGACACTCGGAGCCAAAACCTCCGCTGCGCGCCAAAAAGCGCGAAAGCATGAAAGTTGACGAACCGGGTTGACCCCACAGTACTTATGACGATGCCATGCCGGCAGTCTTCTCACGAGGCGGCCCCCTCCTGCGGCACTCGAAGCAGCGCGTCGCGGTGGTGGATGCCCTCGAGTGTCGCAGAAGAGTGCCCCTCGTCCTTCCACATTCCAAGAGGGGTGTGAAGTGCGCGCCGCGACGCTGCGACGCCGCGACGCGGTGCTCCAGACGTGCGTGGCGTGGACGGCGTGGATTGCGGCGACCTGCCCGGAGACGCGGAGGAGCCACGCAACTGCCGCGGGTCGCAGCGCAGCTACGCCGTGCCGCCCTTGATTACACTGTGCTGGCAAGTGGCCTGTGTCGATCTTATGAAGACATCAGGCCATAACGGCTGCCGCGGAGAGCAGTGCGACTCGCTCCATAAACGGCATTCTAATTGCACTGCGAATAACGCTGCCTGCTGCACTGCCTGCAAATAATGCGTTTCCGGTGGCCGTGTCGCCGCGTCCTCGGCCAGGTCGCCGTCGTCGTCGTCGCACAGGATGTGGGCCTGATTGAGCGGGACAGGTATAAGGAGAACGCGCAGTGAAGGAGCTTCAATTATTTGGAGCGCGTTTTGGGGGTCGCCTCGCCCTCCCCGCCTGAGACCCTCGTCGAGCACGCAACAAAGGCCTTAGTTCTAGCGCACCCAGCCTCCAGCAAGGCCCCAGCAAGGCCCCAGCAAGGCCCCAGCAAGGCTCCAGCCCTTGGCCGAATTAAACGCGGCCGGCATGGCGCGCCACTCCAGCAATTATCCGACCAAAGTTGGAAGTTTGGCGCGCAGGGGCGGGGAAAACTAAACCTCTGGCCGCGAGGCCCGCGTCGACCGCGGCCGGCCGGCGGACAGGTGCCGAGCACCCCGCCGTGCGTGCGCCGCGGTCGCGCCTCGCGGCAGGGACGTCGCCGTCGAGGACTCGGGGGAGAAGAAGACCCTTCCGCGCCGAGGCCGGACCTGTGCGCCGCATCGCGGCTCAGCCGGTGTGTAATATCACCTGATCCATCGCGGTGCAACTTGTTGATTGGGATGGCCCGCCGTGCCCCGCCCCACCACGCCCCACCCGCCCCGCCCCGCCCCGCCCCGCCCCGCCACGCCACGCCAAGCAGAAGAATGCACGACCATTGTGTGGCCTCCCCCTCTGCTTGCTGTGCGGACTGTACCCACCCTCGGGGCTGGACCGGGCTGCTGCCCCCTCCCCCCTCCCCCTCCTCCCCCCTCCCGCC